GTGGTTGCCTCCGGGGCAGGCGGGAATCGAACTCATGCGGAAGTGGCTTTAGTTTTTTAGTGCAGTGCTTTAACCCGCTGCGCCACCAGGGAGGGCCGGGATGATAATATTTTATCCTGAGCGTTGGTGGCGGATTAAACTAGAACCTGTATTAGCCACTAGTTCCAGGACCAGTCTTAAGGTGCACATACATTCTTTTTCTTTCTTCTGCAGGCTATCATGGAAGGCAGCGGCCGAATAAGAGCTGAGTCTTACCCTGACAGCAGCACTCTGGTTATTGATGTAGCTGAAAAAGAAGATGCTGGTGTCTACCACATAAATCTGAAAAACGAAGCTGGGGAAGCACACGCAAGCATCAAGATTAAAGTTGTGGGTAAGTTCTCTAGACAAACTGACTTCAAGTCAAATTGACATGTCTAACTCTGGGTTGACTTTGTCAGCTCTGGGTTCTCTCAACTTTGCAGGGTAGCCAACAGAAATAAATGATTGGTCGCTCTAGTTTATGAATCAGCATGTACCTTTTTCTGCCTTTGCTACTTCTTTTCTTTTTTCTCCTTTCTCTCCTTTCTTGCCTCATGGGCTGAATGTAGGCCTGAGAAACTAAGGTTAGCCTCTTCGGCTTGCTGTTATTAGCTCTCTACAGTCACATTCCCTTTCAGTGAGCATTTTTTAGAAAATTTTAAATTTTATTTTAGCGTGGAAGAACTGGGGTATAGGCAGAGTTGGGGAGTGAGAGGATTCACCAGAGGCAGAGTAGGGATCAGAACATGCAGATGGACTGTGAAGGGGAGCAGCAGGGAGACAGGAGAGGCGCCATGTGGGTCAGCTCCCTGGGGGTAACGAACTCAGGCATGGTGGCGATGGTACTAAGACTGAACTTCAAGGCCACCAGGGAGGCCCTCAATGGGCTTTTTTTTTTTTTTTTTTGATTTTTTTTTGTGTATAGAACTGGGGTACAGGCCAGAGGTGCAGGGGTGGCCTGAGGATTCACCAGAGATAGAGTAGGGAGTGGAACAGGCTGACTGACAAGTACACTGCTAGGGGAGCAACAGGCTGGTCAGGAGAGGTCTGCTGCGCCACATGGATCACTTCCGGGGCAGGTGGGGATGGAACTCATGCGGAAGTGGCTTAAGCCTCTCAGTGCTGTGCTTTAACCTGCTGTGCCACCAGGGAGGGCCCTCAATGGACTTTTAACATCAGATCAGTGAAGCAAAATTGCTAAATAACTTCTGACATCGCAGTCATTGTAGAGGAGGACAGTTTACCTTGATCCTGAGACAACCATCTCAGTTCATTTCTTTTTTAAGCCTGACACCAGGTGAAATGAATCCATAGAAGATTATTGTGGTCCAAGGTCTTATGATCTCCTCATCTTACCTCAGTCTTTCCTTATGTAACACATTTCAAATTGACCAAAAGCTGAGGTCACTATATCAGGCCCTGAACTATATTTAGAAGACACGGTAACTTACAGCTGTGCCT